CTGCCCGGCGCGCACCCGCCGCCCCCGGCCCGGCCCGGCCCCGCCGTGCGCGGACCGCCGGATCCCAACAAAGCGCGGAAAGAAACGCACAAAGCATCAAAAGGCATCAGCGCCAATATTAGCGCTGGTTAGACCCGCTCCCCGCGGAACTAGGCCAGCAGATGGTGCTACCCGTCATTATTCCATTAGGCTCCACGTTTAACCCCCGCGGGGATCGGCTTTAACCCTTCCCGCTCCCCGCCCGCAGCGCCGCCCACAGCGGCTGCTCGCTCCCTTGGAAAACCGTGGGAACCGGGCGCTGTGCCGGGCTGGACCTCGCTGCACCGCAACCCTGCGGCTCCAGCCCCGGGGGAGGGCACGGAGGGACAGCGGCCGAATCCCAGCCTGTGGCCTCACAAACAGAATTTGCTCTCCAATATACTTTTTGATTTTTTTTTCTTTAATTATTATTTTTCTTGCATTTACTTCATTACTATAAGATGATGTCAGTGACTATAATCATTTGCTGACAAGCTTCCCTGCTTCCTACAGAAAATGGAAGAACTGCTCGGTTTTATCCCTCTGCCCCTGCCCAGACCTGCGGGACCCTGCGGTGGAGACAGACCTCCTCGGGACACAGCTCTCTGGTAAGCGCCTCTTCATTCCCAGGTTGGGTTAAATGCTATTTTAAAAGAATCAGACAAGTTTTAAAATACGTATTGTGAAGATACCAAATAAAACCAAAAAGAAGACTGGGCTTTTTGCAAGGTTATTAAAAAAAACGAGAAGCTTTTGACAGCATAGCTCTATCCTAGCAGTACCCTTGATTCTCAAAAGCCCACTCAAGAAGAACGAAGAAAGATCAGGACTTGATTTCTATTTTGTTCAATATATACATATAATTTTATTTTCCAGGATAGATGTTTTTCCATAGAAAATTTAAAATATGGAAAGGATTTTGAGATTGTTAAGATTGGTCAGTACTCTAAAAGATAATTTCACTTCCATTTAAGATTCATTTCAAAATTAAGCTCATTGTCCAGTAGAAACACTAGTGGTACACCAATACTTTAAACTGATTCTTTTCTTCACTTAAATTCAAGGATATTTCTGTAAATATGCAGCAGCATCACAAGGACAATTACTACATTTTAATTTTACTTCTGAGAACTCTAGCCAAAATGTTTCTACATTATGCGTACTGTAACTATAGTAAATTACAGGGATTTATAATTTAGGGTTATTATTTCATATCTTAGTAAAAATGGTAAATAATCAACCATTTTATATTTTGAGATCAGCTAAACAAAAAAATATTCCTAATGTACCCTTGGTATAATTTAAGCTCTAAAAACTGAATGCTACTAAAGCCAGTACTGTTAAATTGGTCTGCTCTTGAACATTCCTGGGCCAGAAGAAAACAAACAAAAATGCTTAATAATTAAGTAGGTAATCCAGAAATTATGTTTTTTTCGTGAATCCTTTTACAGTCTTTCTAGATATTTTATTATTTTAAAACAAAGTTTCTTTGCTGCATTTTCTCAGAGCTCAAAGCTACTTCCCAATTTATTCCTCAACAACATTACTCTTACTATAGAACTGTGAGTATGCTGGATGAGACTCCTCTATGTTATAATTCCTCTGCGTCTTGCTCTGTACTATCCCTTCCGAGTTCTGTCTCCTGCGCTGCACAACCATTGAGCTATTTGTTAGAAATCCCAGACCATGGGTTTTTTTAAATTTTGCTATGACATTTTTAACCATATGGAAATGACACTCATGAAGATGCAGGAAGACACCAGACAGCCATTCTAAGCCAAATAAATCTGTAATGAAACCTTCATAAAGAAAGTCACTATTGTCACAAAAACCAAAACTGGAAAGCAACACAAGTGTTTTGAGATTAGAACGTGAAACACGCTTGTACCACAGAGGACAGGATCTATGTGTACTTAGCAACAAAAGCCATTTAATCCAACAGAGCTCTTTTATTCTGGTAATAATTTCATGATTCGAAAATATGCACAGCCATAAAATGATTGAACAGTTGTAAATCATCATGCACAATGAAAACCATTTCAAAGGTTCTCCAGCATCTACGAAAAAACGGCAAAGCCTTTTGCAGGCTGAAAATACCGCTCCCCCTCAGTGAGATGGAACGCAGATAAAATATCCTAAAGGAATATATCCTCTCAGTAATGGCTTACAAACCTATTCCATCTAGAATAAGAAATAAATTTTTAACTGACAAACATATAGGAGAAGGTGGAAAGAAAACCCTGAGGCCACTACATATTTAAAACCTGAAGATTTTATTTGGAAAAATAGGTTTGTACTTTTCACAATTGCAAAGATAACCATCCATATATGAGCAAATGCAAAGCAATGCAATGTTGTCTTGAGTCTGCACAGAGGGAGCTCCAGGGTATCTGCTGCTGCTAATGGCTTTGCCAAGCAGCAGCCGAGTGCAGGGAACAAGCCTCCTGTCAGTTCCCTGCTGCTCCACGCAATCCTGTGGGCAGCAGGGAAATTGGCAGGAATCACCTCAAATTCTCACTACTGCTGCTGCCTGCAAAAGCCATTAGCAGCAGCAGCAGGTATGGACCCTGGTGGTGCTCACACTGCAGAGCTAGCCCAGAAAAATACTCAGGGAACAGATCAGAACAACAGCTGTAGAATTCCTCACACATGCCCTGACCCACAGCCAGGGGAGCATCTTTTTGGCACTATTCAAGGGAATTTGACATGCTGTCTCACAGGAGTAGAAGGTGCCCTACACAGATATTAATGATTTCTTAGTTAAACAATGGAAAAACAGTCAAGTTACCAGGCAATATCAAGAAGCAGAATCATGACAGCATCCTTCCAATAGCCAGCAGTACTCTGCTAAACAGGCTTTTCATAGAAAGGCATTTCCTCCAACACTTTGTTGTGTTTGCATAGGACATGTGTTTGAAGATGTTCACTGGCATAACAGTCCTTCTCCCAGCAAGGACAAACCACCATCCTCAACTTACAGACATCAGTTTTTTCTGCTCTGAAGCCTAAACCCATTTTCATTTGCTCCATAACAACAAATAATTCCTTCACATTCTCTGCATATCACTACAAAAGAAGCCCCAAGAAGGTGAATTTAACACTGAAACTACTTCTACCTCCTAGAAAACCCTCCCAAATCCTGCCTTATCTGTTCCAATAGTAAAACATGGCACTCTAAGAACACCTCTCCTACAGTAGGTATGGCCATTCACAATGGAATAGCATTACTTTCAGTTCTGTGTGTGCACAAAACCTTTCAGAGTCTCCAAAGTTGCACTCATTCTTGATATATTCTAGGAACTGAATATATCAATTATATTGATATATTCAATATATCAGACAATGCTTTTCACTGAAATTTTAACAAGTCACACATTTGTGATTGAATTATACAAGGCACTTTAGTGAAATAATGTTTTTCATTTGTGGGTCTACTGACCATTAGATTAGCTGCCACTAAGAGCTAAATTATGACCCTAAGGAGTGTAACAACAGAAAGTTAAGGTTTACATCTGCAATGCCTTGAGTGATTCTTTCACTCCTGTTGGAAGCAGTACACACCTGCAGGAAGATGCTCAGACCAAGTACTGTCTGCCTTGAGAGCCTAACAAGTTCTTGACAGTGTACCAAGGTCCTCAGGAAATCAACATGACCTTGACATCAACTGCACTAAAAGCAGCTACAATTAGCCACCTGGAAACTTGATCTTTATGCATTACGACATTACCTTTGTTCATGTTTATTACTAAACAAGGCATCTCTTTGTGCATGTCAAGTCACCAGAACAGTATTAATATCAGAACCATAGTGCAAATAAATAAATTGCATGACTTAATAGTTTGGGGACTTCGTTCAAATGGGCTTCTCATTTTTTTCACATTATAATCACATGAAAACTGGAAAACTGCAGTTGCTTTTAACTCACTACAGTGAAAAATCTTAAAGGTAAATCCATTCATCATTTGAATTATAAAATTGTATTTAGGAATGCAACTCTAAAAATCCCCAAAGCATGTATTCAACTCAGTGATGCCTGAATTTCATACTATTCTGAACTTCTTTCCCCTATCTGCAAAAATAAGTCTCTGATGACTTTTAATGGTGGATTTGTAATTAAAAAGTTTATCTATTTAAAAAACACAAAACCTCTATCTGTAAACTACTTACAATATCTATGTGTCACCTGACATGCATGCAGAAAGGCATCTCCTTTGCTGCATGGCAGTCCCAGCAAAAGATGTAGTTTTCTCTAGACAGTAAACTGAGATTTTCAGTTAATCAGGCTACTTTTACACATATAATGGGAAGATCACCTAAATATGGAACAGGGTTTCTTTCCTCCAGAGACAACTCCCTCCAGAGTTCATTCTGAACTGCTTTTTATTTTCTTGTTCAAGTCCCACACCATCTGCTGGGACTGCTTCACAAAGCCAAGAGCACTGGCAAATGAAGATCTGTGGGGTTCTATCATTTTTCCAGTCTCTTTGGTGCATATATGGGACTATTAAGACAGCCAATGAAGTATTCCAAATTGTGGTTCTTTCAATATGCTGATAGTATGCTTCCTTCTTTTTCTGGCTTATTATAACTACTAATGAATTTCTCAGTATTTAATGGATACAGAATTTCAAGACACACATTTATGAAACCTAACCCAAATTAAAATAGGCATGCTACAGATAGATTATGAAAAAAAAAAAAGAACAAGATACCAGGTGAGAGTCTATCCTTTTCATCTTCCATATTTGTTATCTATAACATTGGTAAATGAATGGCTAACAATTACAGCACTTTGGCCAGACAGCAGTTTTTATCTGTGTAACAGTCACTTCAGAGCATACATCTGTGATTTAGGATGTGAATGTGGTTTATGCCTCACTAGGCATTTAGCACCATGCTTATAACCTAATTTTAAATTTCTGTGCAAATGAAAACACTAATGGAAAAGTCAGCAACCTTAAACTAGTCATGTTTCGACAATGAAACATGCACCTGTTGGCACGTCACACTCTCTACATAGGATGTTGTTTCACATCCCAGTGCTACAGAACCCAGTAATAATATCACTAATCATGTTTTGCCACTAATACAGTGGAGATACCATAGTTGTCATTAGTAGCAGCTTCTAAACCAGTGACCTGCCTTATCTTTCATAGGGGCAAGATCAAGCCATGTCCATATAAGCAGCTGCTAACCTGGGTGTGCTGCAGAGGCAGCATCAGAAGTTACAGAATGAGTCTGTGGCACACATTTTGCTTCCATTTGGAAGAGATTGTTTGAAGAAAGTATTTTGGGGCCCAGTGCCAACTATAGTTTTCTGAATATTTAGTAGTGGTATGAAAACTGTGTGTAATTTGCATGGTAACTCTTAAAGGAGGCACTATGTAATGGAGCATACTAAATTGCCAGGAAATGAAAGAAATTGAGAACTTCATCCCACTTGCTCTGCCAAGCTGCTGCATTTAATGTGTTTCAGTTTTCAGTGGTTTGGTGTTCTGTGCCCATCATGTACCCAACTTCTCTTGGGTTCCCGTCTGTAATGTAACAGCTATTTGAAAAATGGCAGACAATGCCAACAAAACCCACTGCCTCAGCAAAACTTCTCAGTGCTCTTCTACATGCAGGGCCAGAACACCCAGAACTTGCACTGGTCTAAGCGTGATGCAGGGCACACTTTGTGGTGCATTATGGCAGTATCACCACACTTACCATAAGAAAACCATGGGCTCCTGCCTATGAAAAAAATGTTACTATTATCATATCCAAGGCACCTGGTGGATGCACCACTGAGTTTAGGCTCAGACCAAATTCACAGTCATGCCATACTTCTACTTTAAAATTTTCTTCTTTAGTCTACGGGTCAAAACGTTCCGGCAAAAACTTCCGTTTCTTTCTCACATTCTTGCCTAATCTTAACCTTACAAATTTTGCAATTACTTGACTCCTTGAAAAACAGGAATGACTAAAGTCTCTACTCTATAAAAGGCAACTCAGGTTTCAGTTCACTGTTTGAAACGACTCTTATGTGGACATCTGGAAATAAATCTGTAAAATACTTCACCAAATAGTTACAGAGAAGAAAAATCAAACATGTATTTCTGTTTTAAAAAGAGTAGTCATTAGGGTTCAAAATCCTCAGGTAAAGCTCTGAAATATATTGATCCACTGAAATCTAACATCATCCAACACCTTCTTGGATGGTACAGATAAGAACTTGCTTCTCCTGGAACACATGCACATACATATGCCTGATTTTACAACTGGAAAAGTTTGTTTAACATGTAAAGCCGGATAGCGTCTATCCCCAGTGCTTTTTTAATGACCTTTTAAACTCCAGAAAAAAAATAACATGACTGAAACTGCTCTAATTTAAGGTGACAAAATCCTTTTAAATGTTTTAAAGTCATTTTAAAATGATTTAAAGGTAAAATAATGAAGAATTGACTGCAGAAGTCTTCAGAACAGAAAACAAAATTGCAACCAACTTAAAATTCAACTGAATTTTCACAAGTTGCCATTTACCCACCCATGTTCTATATGACCACTACTTTTATGTGCCACTGAGAAAGTTATTTTCTCTTTTTTTTTTTCCTTATCAACCAGAGAAGAAGGCCAGAAGACAAAAAGCCTACCCAAACTACCTTCAAAAAGAACATCACATGAAGAGTTTTCTTTCCTCTTAATTCTAATATCCAAGGTAGATTCAGCATATGTGTCCCACTCACACTAAAAACCAGCACAGCATCCATCTCTGAGCAAGAAAAAGCAACAGGACCTTAATGGTTGTTGGTTCTTGTCAAAATTTCAGTTACAGTGTTCCCTCTACATCACTCATGGAAGTGGCCTTGTACGAACACATTTTTATGATTGAAACAAAACCCACTTTCATCCTTAGAAGTTTACTGCTGTCAGTATTTCCTTCCACTATCCCCCAGTTCTTCCACTCTCTCAGTTTGTTATCAGCCCAGATTCAAAGACATTCCAGGTGTGAAGGGTTGTAAAATGCACAACCCTCCATGGTCTATTCTTGGTACTCTTCTGCTACTTGGAGGAGTCACTGAACCTGCTGAAGGGATGAAAGGAAGGGCAAGTGGGCAAGAACTCTTCAGAACCAGCAGGAAGCTGCCCACCTTTTGTCTCAGTGCCTCACTTCTGCAAATACCTACAGAAAAGGAAGTCAGGCTAGGTCAGAGAAACAACCACACATGAACAAAACACAGAGGTAGTTTTTCTTCCACAGCATGCTTTAACAGCCTAATTTACCAGATTCTGCTCATATTTTATAATACATTGAGTGCAATGGTAAAAACCAATTCAATTACAAGTTAAGTGAACCAGCTTATTCGAAGTATAAAGGCTACTGGAGAAACATGCTGCAATGGATCATTTCTTGATAAGTCCCCAGGAAATGATCCTGTGATAATATTGGCAACCTTCTTTTTAATTTTTTGCTCTTTTTAAACTATGGATTTCCAGTGCTTGTTTTTAGCAGAACAATGAAGTTTTGTTGACAAGATGACAGATGTGAAAAATAGGTATCATTTGATTAAGAGGGAAATATCAATCATGAAGGACCTTTAAATCAAAACAGATTGCTTATTCAGAAAGGCTACCATGTAACATCTCTCTCTACAATAATTTTATTCCCTAGAAGCAGTTAAGTTTAAAAGTTTACTTATCTCTGAACATGTTTGGTTTTTTTCTTGTAGTATTACTCAGTACTTTCCAGAGTATCCAAAATGTTTTCAACATTCGTAATTTCAGTGAGATTAAAAACACCCAGCACTTAATGTTAAACCCAGCACTTAACACTAAAATATATGACAGAAATTGGGAAAATTATTTTTAACATCAACAGCTGGGGAGTCACTAATATCAGTACTGACTGCACAGCATATTTCCATTTAAATCAAAGAGGGGCATATTTCTTCCACTTCAATTCAAAACAACTTGCATATTTTTTGTTTCAGCTTCAATGAACTACTTTAGCAGCTTTATATGCCAGAATCTTCAGTTCAAAAGAGTCCTTTAGCATATATGCTAACCTAATGAAACTACTTCCCTTGAATCTAGTTTTCTCAATTAAATATTCATGAACAAAATCCTTGCCCTTAGTTAAGGAGTAAAACAAGATGCCTAAAGAAAAGGAATTTATCAAAAAGGGTGATGGCTCAAAAATAAGGAGTCCCAAGTAGAGGATACTACTGGGGAACAATAGTTTGGTTTCAGGCAAATGAAACCCAGAAAGCAAAAAAAACAAACTATTTTTTCCTCAGAAGCCACCTATAAAATTGCTAGATAAAGAATATAGCATCCAAGAGCTTCACAGTAATAACCATAAAATAAAGAAATTCTTATCTTTAACAGAGGTGAAGTCAGCAAAAACTGTCACCAACACAGAGCAGAGTGACAGCCTGGTTAGAGACCACAGAGTGCTTCTAAGGGCATCCCCAGGTATGGTCATGAGCAGGACCATGAGCCCTCTGTACCTCTGTCCCCAATAAGCAAGGCTGGGTCACCATGTCTGAAATCTAAAATCGCTCAAAGCCTGTCACATTTGCAGTTAAACCACAGTAAGTCAGAAAGCACACTGGGCTGGCACCAGAAAACACATCTCTCGTGTGGTGTCAGGAGTTGATCAGATTTCAAACACTACATGATTGCACGTCAAAGAATCCTCCAAAGGATGATATAAATAGGAGCTACAATACAGACACATCAAAATATATTTGCCTAATCTATTTTAAAAATTGTTCTTACTGAACTCAAAGACAGTAAGACACATGTCTGGTTTTGTCACTCAGATGTTCCTTAAATAATTTACCTGCCTTCCCCTGTGACAGCTTAGGTTCTCTAACAGCTGGTTTCTGCTTTTAAGAGTGTCAAGGACCAAAGTTCCTGCTACAACAGAGTTAGCACATCAGGCTGAGCCTTACCTAGGCCTCGTGGACAACAGCTGCAATGACTTAAAGATAAAAAATGCATATATACTGCATCTTCTTATCCTTCTGAGGACTACAAACAGGTACTGGAAGCCCATAGCATGTTGCAAGTCTCAAAAAGCACAAGGGCTATGCTTTTCTTGTGAGTTTGCTTTAAACACTATTAAAGAAATCTCTGTATTGTGGTGCTCATTAAAAAAAAAAAGGTACAGTGAAACAATTCCTTTTGAGATTACTTAAGATTATTTAAAAAACTTATTGGTAGTACTCTAGTTTTGAAACAGTATTTCAAGCTCTAAGAAAATACACACAAATCTCAGAACCACAATATTTGCAATGGCTTCTTTAAGGCTAACTTCTCTTTTCTTTCCAAGATATAAACTAAAACTAAATTGTGAGGTCATGAATATATCTTAAAAGAGCCCTTCCTGTCAATCTGTGAAATTAATTCTGCTTTGCAATTCAATATGCTGCTCAACAGCATAATATACATATATATGATATGCTACTAACACTGAAATTATTTTCAAATATGGGCTAACTCCTGAGCAGGCAGTGTGTAAAAGATAGGAACAATTTCAGGAGATGTAAGTTAAAATGCTTGCCTCCACAGTAAGATATCAAGGGAACAAAAAACTCAAGCGAGTACAAATAAAAGCCAAATAACCCACACAAAAGAAAACCTGCCACATTTATGAAAGAAAAATCAATCTCTGCTACAAATTACACAGCTTTCAAAAATGTAAGACTTGTCATCTTTTCTAGCCTAAAGCTACATTCCTAGCTTCATTTATCATGCTTACTGAAATCAGCATTAGAATTCTTGCTCTCATCATCCTAAGAAACCCACTAATTTATATTTATTAGCCTTAAGAGTTCCCAAAATCAATCCACTCAACATCTGATGATAAACACTCTCTTAGAAATCTGTGTAACCAGGAAATTGAGCAAATTTTTTTTTTACCTGATAATAAACAAAGAAAACAGTATCTCTCCAGATGTAGGAGGCTCTTTGGGGGACAAAGTTGAAAATTATTTTGATTTATCTGTATATTTAGAAATAATATAATAGCTAAAAGAAACTGCAAAACCTGAGTGCACAAAACACACAGACATCTGGACAAAAGCCATATAAATTCTAAATATATCAGATTCTCTGGCTTCAAAATTACACTACTGGTTAACATCTTTACAAGTTCTGCTGCTCTTTCAGTAATAACACTTCACTAACACTTCATAAAGTGTTGATTTTCTGCAAAATGTCTCAAGATAAAAAGCTGCTCTAGAAGTTTTACAGGCAATGATATATTTGAAGCCACTCAAAAATGCAGTCTAGATAACAGTGTTAGTTAAAGCAGGTTAGTGGTTACTGGAGCCAATGGACAGTCCACTTGCACTCTCTTTGTATTTAAGACTGCAGGTCCACACACAATTATTTTGCCTGTACTGCAGAAAATATTGCTTCCCACTCCTTCCTCTCTCACAGAATCACAGAATGGCTGAGGTTGGAAGGGACGTCTGGAGATCATGTAGTCCAGCCCCCTAGGACAGGCTGCAAAGGATGGTGTCCAGACAGTTCTTGAGCAGGAGGAGACTCCAGAAGCTCTCCAGGCTCTGTTCCACAGCTCTGTCACCCTCACAGTAAAGCAGTTTTTGCTCATTGGAATGGAAGCTCCCGTGTTTCAGCTTGTGCCCCTTGTCCTGTCACTGGGCACTGCTGGAAAGAGCCTGGCCCCAAGCTCTTGACACGTGCAGGTGTTCGTGTGCATTGAAAAGCTCCCCTGCACTGTGTCTGTGGAACATGATCCTGTGCAACTGAGAGAATTAAACCAGGAACTTGTATTCTGGAAAAACACCCTTGACAAAAAAAGTGCAAAGCTTCTCTGTACCTAAAGGAGTTTCCCAGTTCAGTTCATAGCCCAAACATTGCATTAATGCCAGACGAAATCAAAGAATAGGAGCTTTTTTCTTCAACTTGTTTTTAACTCGATAATTTATTATAGTTTAGGCATATATTGAGCAACAGTTCTAACAGCCTATAGAATGGGTTGCTGTCTCTAAAAGACAATTTAACATGGATTTTTCTTTCTCTTTAATTAGGTACCACTTTTTCCAGACACCAAGACTGCACAATTATATCAGTACTCTCACATTAATGAATTGCTTTATAGTTTTTCTCTGTTAACAAGACACCTATTTCCAAATAGTTATTCAGGTTAATCAACCACACTTACCCTGCATTGTTATTAAAAAAATAATATCAATTTAACTTATTTTTATCAACTAGTTTCACCTTGCTATTTTACTACTGCAATTTGACCCAGCCAGAAGCTTTCTTCCTATGCCTGCCATCTGTTAACTACTTTTTACAAAAATGCTTCTCTTTTGGCACATTTCAAAGACAATTATAGTAGGTATTTAATGGGTGTGCAATTATCTCAGGAAAAAAATATATTATTATATTATGACAATAATTTAAACAGCAAGTGTTTAATTTTGCAGAGGAAACATACACAAAGAATTGGACAGCCTAATTATTTGACAAGTGATGAAGGTTGAGAGAGACTTTTTCAAGAAAGGTTTAAGAAAAGCTTTTGTGATAGCATAAAGATCCAAAAAAATTGCAAAAAAATTTAATTCTACTCAACAGAAATCACTAAGAAACTCATAAAGCATTTAAAACTGTAAAAGAGATACTCTGGAACATTTTCAGTGCTCTGAAAATCCCAGCAATTTTTGTCTTTCCCTTACCACACAGCTTTATTTTGAAAGCCAAAACAGGGGAAATGAAGACAATAAAAATTATACCCATCAGTAAATGTGTTACAAATTTATCTCACAAGCATGTACTTTCTTTCCTCAACCTATACAATTTGCAATTTTAAAAAATAAAATGTCTAAAAGGTTTATCTAAAACATATATAATATATACAAAAGCAAGTGCTTCGTACACATTCAACTATAAATAAACCTATCAAAACATAGCTCTTTTAATGATTATTATGTTACTGGCAAAAAGCCATCAATTAATAATGAAAACATTATATTATATACAGCTATAATTTAGAACTTCATTCCAGGAACTGCACTACTAAGGCTGAGAGATGCTGCCCTACTCTTCTGATTAACTCTGGGCATTTGCCTTGCCATAGTCACTGCCACCTGTTTGTGCAAGTCTTTCTCAAATCACAGAAATACAGCAAAAAACCTGCAAAATATTGCACAAATGTGGTCAGTGGAGGGATTGTTTTCATTACTTCAGTATAGATGATAAACTTACTAGGTGCTGGGAATTCTGCTGCCTCACTGTGGTGCAGGACTTAAGTTCCTGTGAAGAAGGTAAAAAATGTTCTTGAGGCACATAGAACTAAATCCAGTGCATACAACTTGTAGAAATGCTTAAAAAGAAACTTCAGACAAAGGTTTACATTTGTTAATATGATGTCACAGATAAAATTTGCCCTAAAGGAACAATATAAATACAGTGGATGTGCTTAATGGGAGGTATACCAGCATTATTCAGCACTTTAGGAAGAATAAACCATGATAAGGGTATGGAGGTTTTTTACATATCAAAATTACAAGGTATGATTTGTAATGAACCAAAATGCTTACTGGAAAAGATGTTAAGATTTCCAATCATAGAATCATTAAGGTTGGAAAAGACTCCCAAAATCATCAAGTCTGACTTTTGACTTGATGCAAGTATATGAGAAGACGCAAAGCAGGGCAGATTTTGAGAAGTATATTTTGTTATTCTCAGTCTCACTGAATATTGCACTGCTTCCCAAGCCACATGCATTTAGCACCATAATTTTAGAATCTTGTATTGAACCTGTACTTAGGAGCCATCACCTATAAACTTACTATGCAAAATAGCCAGTTGCTTCTACAAAGAAGTTCTATATAGTATTATCAATTCCTTAATTTAACATACTCCTTGTTATAGGCTTACTAAAAATTAAACCATACAGAATATAAGAAATACACCCTAATACTATACTGTATACAATATAATGTATTATATATATATATATATATATATGCAAATCCTATATCCTTAATTTTGATATAGCTCCATAACTGTTTATATATCAAGTAGATGTCTGGTATTAGATCTCACAAGTAGCCAAGAAAGCGCATCACTTCTTACTATGTGCTTCTCTCATAAAAACTTCACAGTCCATGATTGTATATACAAGTAGAATAGCAACCAGTAGCAGGATAAGAGTTTTACAAGTGGGGTAATCCAAGGGATACATGTCTACAATTAATTTATTATTGTTATAAATGTGCCATCTGATGCCACAGTCAGACATGAACAGCCTGTAACGATTCAGGACATCTCAGGAGCATATAAATCTGGACTTGGATCTGGTGAGAGTTAATTCCCTCTCTGATGATAAGCTCCTGTATGAGGTTATTCCACTCTGATATATACAGATATCCTGGGGTACACCACCATCCAAGCAATCATCTACAAGGTTCAGACTTTGCCAAACTTTCAACAAGGGCGAGACAAATTCTTTCAAAAACATTAGTGTCATCTATTTCTATAAAAGAAGTGGTAGACAGCTCAGGCTTGCAGGCATAGAAACACTTGCATGTTTCAAGTCAGTTTTTACACAAATTCATGAATACACTGAATTGTCGGGTTAGGTGCCAAACTTTTAGTCACCATAAGGAAAAAAAAATTAATTGTGTGATTTAAGAACTAAGACTACCACCTCATCCTATAGCACTTCATATTATTAATGAAATGTTATTTTTCATCAGTAATTTTTCATTTTCATAGTATTTTTAACCTCAATTCCCCTGCTTTCATGTGTGTAGCCAGAAGACATTAGAACACTTCTTACGAAATTACATACACAGTGAGACAGCTGTAATCTTCTCTAAGGACAGTTTATACTTATCTTTCCAAAAGTTTACACTTCACATTATCTTTTCTACTTCCTTTTTCTTATAAAGATGTAAAACAATGTTGAAGCCTTTTTTATCCTTCTGGAAAACAAATAGATTATTTAGCCTTAGCAAACTCAAACCACTTTTAAGTGGAGTTAAAAGACCAGAAGTCTTGTATTAGTCAAAGCTAAGGCTATAGGAGTCTTCAGCATTTCTCCACTTTACTTTCTGTTCTCAAACTAACTCTGATGAAAAATGCATGATGTAAAATTAAGGGTGCAATTTATTTACAATTCTGATCTAATTACAGCAGAAAGCATATTAGCACCATAAGACAGTCTTTTTAATTCTGCAGCATTATTACACCGAACAGATTGTATTAATTCTTAAATTAATTTCCATCAAAAGAATAACCATACAAGTAAAAATGTTATGAGTATGCTTGCTCTCAAATACTGAAACAAGTATTTAATGTTATTCCTTAATTTAAATAACCTCAGTCTAATGACAGTTAAAGATCTTTGGTTGTCTAGTTAAAGATCTTTGGTTGTCTAATATTAGGTCTATTCCAATATCTATAGTCCATTAACTATTTCATAAAATATTCTAAGAAAACGTCAATCATTATCAAACTGAAACTGTTAAAAAAAACCCCTAAATTCACTAGTAATTGTTTCCTCAATATGTACTAAAGCCAGTATGAAATACTGGCTTGTTAAAAAATTAAAAGCTCACCTTAACTACTATATATGAAATTTGTCAAAAACTCTTCCCAACTGACTCCTACCTATAGTCAGCCAGCTTCAGGAAGATCAAAATTCCTTCTCCCTTTACCCTACCATTTTCCTCTTTGGTTAAACGGAACACATTTGTAAAAAGCTCTAACAGAACCAACTCATCTTGAACTTGAAATTCTAAAATGAGATCAAAGAATAGAAGTGAGAATTACAACTAAAGCCTCTCTTAGAATTGTAGTCAGTCAAAAGACAGATCTGAAACACTTCAGTAATTGCCGTACTTTACCATTACTATTCATACTACATACTCCACTGATTTAAAGAGGCTTCTACATTGTTGCTTCTGTCAATCCCCCATCTGTACATTCCTTAAGAGTTTGATAGCTACCAGTTAACAACTAGTTTCTGACTGAAACTTTAAACATCTGTCTGACCAGATAAACTCAAGGTCAGAATCCAATTTATGCAATTTACTGCATACCCCAAAATAATAAAAACAAAACCAAGCAGTTTTAGAACTGTCTGGTTTCTAGCAGTTTCATTTCAAAGAGGAAAAACATTAAAATTTTAAATACTGCAAAGTTGCTTTGTTTTCACACCACAATAAAAACAAAACCAAACCCCTAAACTTTAAAGGCACTCTGCAGATCTCAGAACTTTCCCTCTACTCCTTGTTACAAAGCGAAGTGCTAAAACTGATGTCAGTGAGATCGAAGCAAGTCTGAAAAGGTTCTGACAAATACAACACAAAAGTCACAGCACCAGAAAGTTTTATTAGACCTGCTTTTCATTGCCTGGCTTATACCCCACATGCTCCTCGAAAATGTTACTAATCCCTGGGTTTCTCACCATCCCCAGGTTTCCTGGAATCCATTTTCTCTTCACCCTTCACCCCAAGTATGCTCAGGGAGCCCAAGAGCCTCCACAGCCCTGTTCCCAACCCTTCGTGCTGCTCCCACGGCAGGACTGCTCACACACGCCCCGACGCGACCACCTTCCCATGAGAGCTGCTGGATCCTGGAGGCTACAGACATCTCTGACAAGAGTGGCTACTTGGGTGCACCCTCTTTTTTTTGAGGCAGGGAAGGGGAAAGAAAGGAAATGTTTATCAAAACCAACAGATTGCATCTGCTGCATCATTCGCTTAATCAAGCTCATCTCAACCACACTGCTGGATATCCGTGTCCCATGAACATCACACCACAGTTCATAGAAGAAGTTTCACTGGTAGGAATTGACAATTACACGCTCCATAAACATAAGCAGAAGTTGTAATGGAGAAGCAATCTACTGAACCAAGACGAAAGATTAAGCGTGTTAAGCCCTTATCTCTACGCTAATGATCTAAAATTAACAGGGGAAAAGAAAAATGCTACATTGTTCCTTCACAGGCCGGTGTCCCACAAACTAAATATAAGCAAAAGTCAGTAGATAAGGTACTTGCCTTCCCCATATTTTTTTTTTTTCCCCAGAAAGACAGCATTCTATATTCACAGATAGAGAGAATATTGGTAGCAAGAATACAGAAGCAGCAGTTACTAAAACCTTTTTAAAGCCATCTGCTTTAAATGCATGTTTGATGTCAGAGTTGCTTGTTTAGATTTGCACAGATTGAAAATCAGAAAACAATTTTTATGTCATCTTGTCCACCTCATGGAGGACTCGAATACTTGCAGTAGATGTGCACCTTATACTAAAACAACTGCTGAGTTTTTTGGTTTAGCCAAAAGTAACAAAACCCAACATACACACAGCTTTTTATACGTTTCCTATTATTATTGATTGCATCAAAAACAAGAATAATAAGTGTGTATTTTTAGGCAATGAGCATGAGCACAAAGACACAAAGCAAAGGACAGAGCAGCAATATAACCACTGCAATTCTTGCAGGAAATCAGCCACACAAACCTTACCAAAAGTCTTAAAAACATGTTTCTCTAAGTACTTTTCAAGACAATAAGCCATTATATTTGCACCAAAATCATAAATTAATAATTTTTTCTGCTGTACTTCAGAAATACAAGCAGCAGCAGGAGCAACACAATTTTATCTGAATAAGAATGTGTAGTCTTACTTTCTGCAGTGGTAGGAAAACAACAGGAGAAAGTAATGTCTGCATCAACTGGTTAGGGCTTTTCTCCTCCTAAACTAGGCTTCTTCATGGTCAAGTAACAGCTCAGAGACTTCAGTTATCATGTTTTGACTCAAGCACTAGTCATTATTCATTTCATGATCAACCAAATCAGACAGTTCAAAGCCCCCCTCCCCAAATCCCTACATACCTGCCCTTGTAAGGTTGCACGACTTCTGCCTTGCAGGTGCTGATTAGAAACTGAAGAATGCCAAGGATGGATCTGAGTTTGAGACGGTGCCCGAACGAGTTCAGATGACGGTGTCACTTGCTGTGGGGTTATGTGGTGTTCTAGGTCATGCTCTAAAACATGGCTTGTGCTATCCTGAACAAACGCAGAGTCATCGAACTGTGGCAGAAGGTCTTCCTGCAGGAGGTCATCCGGGTCAAGTCCTGTGAATGGTTCACTGTGAGTCTCCACTTGATGAAGTAAGTTATCATCTAAAGATGTAAAACCATTGCTTTCAATAGGGTCGGTGAAATGGCTTATCTGAGAAGCAGAACTAGTGGAAGCTGAAAAATTAATATTCACAGGAGAGAGTTTTGAACTACTAAAGTTGCCCTGAGGATGCGCAGAATGCAACATTTGAAAAGTACTTGAATTCAAAGGTGTATTAGGATTCAACATGTGCTCAGTTGTTTCTTGCTTGGTCCCTGTTTGAGATGTAAAGGCATCGCTTCCAGTGAAATCAGAGATAGAGTGTGTCTGCTGGCTAGTAGAAAGAGCTGTTGTAGGCTGAAGAAGGCTGGTAGGAGAAATGCGGTTATTAGAGTAGGAATATGGAGATGAAAATTGTTGACTATTACTGACAGAACATGGAGTAATAGTTGGGGACTGTCCATCAAAATTTCCTTCTTGATTCCCACAAAAATGTATTGAAGCACTTGCATTTTGAGAAAACTGTTGAACGGACAGAGGCTGCTGTGAAGTCGATGGATTAGAAACTGAAGGTGGGTGGTTAACACTGACTCTGAGGGAAGTAGACACGTTAACTTCCATGAAGTCTTTTGGCTGACTCAGAGCATCCTGCCCCGTGTTGTTCCTGCTCTGCTGCGGCCGTAGTGAGGCACACTGATGCTGTGGTTCATTAGCCTGAAATAAGGCAAAGTCATGGTGTGCTACAAAGCTTTTGTTTTGCTGCATAGACTGAGAATGTCCTTGGTGAAAAGGGGACCCATTTTGATTTGAAACAGTTGTGGCAGTTTGATGACCCCACATAGGACTACCATCAGCCACATCTGGAAACATCCCATTGGACTGGTTTTGCGGATGAACTGGTGAACAATTGAATTGAGAGTGTGGTGATAAGACATTGTCAGCTGAGCTATTAAAAGACTGATTTACTGAGTGAAGCTTCAGTGAATCATACTGATTCAGCTGATCAAACTCACTCATCTTTTGTTGATTTTGAGCATCTTGCACATGGTTCAGTGAGTCTATGTGCAAAGGTTCAAATTCTGCACCCAAATTCAATTCATCAACAAGTGAAACAGGTCCAGGTTGAACAAAGGCATCATCTGACAAACCTTCTAAGGTCTCACTAAAAAGATTGGCATCATCAAAAAAATCCATCATAGGATCAGTCATCTTGAGAGGTCTGTTCTGCTTTTGCTCTCAACTCCAAATGGAGTCAATTTTGTCTCTCTGCAGTGAACAGAAACAAATGACATCCAGCAGTCACCACCTTATCCAAGGCATGCCAACAGCCATTAGTGCTTCTGATGAAACATTTGTCTTCAGGTGTTAAAGCATCCTGAAGGAGAGGAGTGAGGGAGGGGAAAAAAAAAAGGAAAATTTAAATTTAATGACTGTCCTCATCCTTCCTTCCCAACATTTCTAAGGGTATTTGGTACTTTGTTCATAATTTTAGCTAAACCACAAATCAACTTTTTTTTGCTTATACTCAATGCCCTGTGCAGGGTTTATAATTTTTGTCCCTTATAAAAATATATTTTAAATGTAATGGTTTCATTTGTTTTATTCACTCAGAGCACAATTATAGATTCTCCTTGGTCATATTCACTAAAACTACAAATTGCACCAATTTTAGTGCTTGCAGTTTTTTAGTGGGTTTTAGTGCTCCAGGATTAGGATTTGTTTATAGCAAAAAAATCATATAACACGTAAGATGTATGTAATAATTCTGTATGTTTAAACAAAAAAGCTTGAAAAATTATTTCATTTAAGTCAAAAGTTGAATTTCATAAGGGAAAACTGGGATCCTTCGTTTCTTCTATTTAAATTGCATTATGCAAGTTCCTGAGAAACTGTTTTATTGCACTTATGAGGTAACACTTCTTAGAAGGAATGAATACAACAATACAAAGAAAACACAAAAAGAACAAGCTTTGGTTCAAAGAAGTTTGCACATCTAGTTTCGAAACATTTGAAACTATTCATAGTATCATTGAGTGATCACAAATTAATTGATTTGCAGTGAGGGATTTAAGGAGAGTTGAAAAGCATGGTTAATTTAACTTTAGCCTAAAAACTTCCACATTTTTACTGTAATCAAACAGAATAGGAAATGCCTTAAAATGTGTGTCTGTCATAATGTACCTCCCCAAATAACTGGTAACCCTGTAGAATAGGGAAGCAGTCACTTTAAATTAGCACCTTCACAGAATAATCATTCCTTTATCCTGTCAATACATATGTCTAATTAAAGGAAAAAAAAAAAAAAAAAAAGAAAAGAAAAGGGAAGAAAAACAGCCACAAGTTGTAATTCCTGACCCTCCTATTAAAGCTCACCTCCAATTGCAATTTCTCATTAATTGATTTTCCTAAGAATAAGTAGAGGGCCCTTCCAGAAATGAACACCCTGTAAATCTGAAACATTCTCTGATGGAAGAGGTTCATGCTGAACCTACTAAGCCCAAAGTACTTCTTGGCAAAGCTGATAAAAAACCCATCCTACATATACTCCCAGGCCACTGAGGGTGGTGTGACCATAGTCAGAATAAAGCCAGACTTAAATTCACAAACCACCTTTAGGATTTGAGTATATGAGACTTCTGGTGTGTAGAGAAAGGACAGATGGATCCTGTATCATCCTGACAGACACTAATCAGGTATGGATTGGTGTGAGTGTCAGTGAGGAGGAGAACAAGCATGATAAAAAACAAATGACAAAAGCTTAGGAAGATGTCAACTTAGCACAGCAAAGCTACTGTGGATCCCAGATTATACATGTGTAAATTACTGCTTAAAGTTAGGATCTCCTAAAGTCCCAAGAAATCATTAATATAAATTAGACCTCATTATCTTCTAACACTGATTAAGTTGTCTACTTACGATTAAAAACAGCTAATGATGGCTTTCCCAGTATGGAACTCCCTCCAATAGATGACAAACAACCACAGAATCCAGGTAGGTCTGGCATGGGTTATAACATTGCTAATATAATGATATCTCATCCTAGTTTATCTCAACACAAAAGATAAGTCAGGAGAGAGCTATTTTCAGAAGAAAACCAATTCAGATTAAGTACAAGGAAAAAAATATCATAGGCACAGAACAATGTAATTCAAGAAACCCCACCTGAGGAAAGATAAAATGGAAATTATGGTAGCCATGGGTAAAATGTTATGTTCCAGGCTACCAAGGATTACTGATAAAAATCTCAAATCTGAAGCTGTATTAGTTAAGTTTACATACTGAGTCTGATCAATTTTTGCTAACTCAAAAAAACAGAGGGGAAAAAAGAGCTATTTCTTCCATCTTTAGCAATATAGATCCCAAGGATGTACAGTCGTTAACTAGTATGCATGTTCTTTACTATAGAAGCCTAGAACTACTCAACAGGACTAAAAGAACCCTATATTAAAAGCCACATACACCACACAATCTCTTCATGTTTTACTGACTGTGTCCCTTTACAATAAGGAAATTGAGAGAAGACTGCAGAACAGCTGGAATTACGGCAGCACACTCAGAGCTGCCCTCACAGAAATTTACTTATTGGCTTAAAAAGAAACCAAGAAACATTTTCCAACTTTGTTTTTCCTACTTCTTTTCAATATAAGGAAAACAAGAGGAAGTAATGAACAAATAAGATGAACTGTCCTTTTAAAATGGAAAAGGTTTATAACAAAAATAAATCTTAGCAGGTATAAATAGGAAATATAACCTCACAATGTCAGCTTCACTTCAAGGATCCAAGCAAGCTGGATAGCATAGATGAATTTCCAAACTGAGAAAACTGAAGGCTGGATACACAAGAAACCTCTCCCAGCTAATTAGACCAACATAAATTTATTATGAAGAAAGCTTCTATGTAAAGTGGAGATTGTGAAGTGATGAAAAAAAACCCCAAAATAACTCCACCAACCAACCACCCAAACCTCTTTTGGAAAGAATACCACTATAAATAGCTTGAACACAAGTCTGTTGCAAAGAGAATTTGCGTTTTGACCAGGGAAGTACTTTTACCCGCAGTCTTCAAGGAAACTTCAGTCTTTCTTATACCAGAAGAATAGGAAAACAAGATCTATTTTACAGAATACATCAAAATCCTGAACTCATACAAAAACATAAGGGAACAGATATCAAATTTCACTCTGAAAACATGTAGTGGAGGTAGCAGTAAAAGGAATATAATAAAAAATTCTGATGTGTTTTATTTCATTCTGTATTTATTTCATGGCATTTTTGACTACTTTTGCTGAAGTGACAACAGAAAACAACCTACTCTAGTTATAAGCAAGTAAATCCAGTGGAGCTTAAGCACATTACCATGATATCCACGCTTTCAGACTTTGATACATGAGGTAGCACTGCTTCACATAACTGATGTGTGACAACACCAAAGGTAAGAGAAATCAGTGACTTTGGTGGCCATTTTTCTCAAAAGAAGTTGAAACCATGGCTATTCAAAAAAATAACAGAAGCCAGCTCAGAGAGAAGCTAGGGACAAATTAGCAACCACAAGGAATTAAGTCATAAAAGCACAACATAACAGAAATCAGACTATGGCAAAAGGACTCAGACAGTTGTAGTTAGGGAAGAATTTTACATTATATATTTGTAAAGGGTTTAGTTTTGGGGATTTTTTAGGGAAGCAATGCCACCAGGCATAACAAACAAGAAGTCTGCTAGAGACTGAAAAAAATTATTGTATTTTGCTGAATTCTATGTAACGTGCAACAGCATGACAGCTTTGTGGCTTGCTGTGATTTGCCCATCTATTAGCAGATGGAATACGACATCAAAAGAGGTGCATGGTAAAACCCAGATACTCAAAAAACTGATCACTTCTGCACAATATTTAGAAATGAGACATTCCATTCCCAATATTAAAAGACAATTACACTATCATTACTTGTCAGATTTTAACTAAAGCTTTGGCTAAGTTCAAAAAAGTCGAGTTAATTAAATAACACAGAAGTTACTTCCTGCTGATGTGCCAATATAAATTATATTCTATCATAGATTTAAAGATCAATGTACATGTTAAATTTAAAAGGCACAGAGGGGCATCATTTCCTCAAAATCCCAGTAATAGAGAAGACTCAAAAAGAACATTTAGTAGATAGAAACTCTTTTATTCCCTAACAGAAAGGACTGTTTGTACTAGAGTACCATGGTATCTGTAGCCAAATATGGGTTGAAAAGGTGCATTTTCTTATTGTTATCCCTAAAATTTGGAAAAAACTTGATTGGGTAGCCCAAATAAAAACCCATACATCCAATTATATATATCTACATATGCATTAGATTAAAATTACTTTTAACTGGTATGCATTTCTAATTATTTTTGAGTAATGAGCTATCCCTTTAGTAAAATCATACCTTCAATATACTGTTTTTGTTCAGAATTCTCTTTCTGCTACAGAGTTCACAGACATCTACTACATAGTCAAAAGATCGCTCAAGTACCTTGAATTTTAACTTGAGGACTATGAAGATTTGAAACATATGGGCTTAAACTAAATTCTCAGAACTGAGTTCTAGTTCATGGCTACAGTTCCAGCTCCAAGTAAGAGCAAAGAACTGGAGCACAGTGGCCTGTGTGTGCTTGTCAGGCTGATGACAGCAGTCTGTTACCATACCTACTGATCCTGCTTGCACCAAACACCCCATGTAACTGTTTCCCTTCCTCTACTCCCCAGACATGCCAAACTCCCTTCCTTCACCTCTCCTCCTTTCGTGCAAATAACCTCTGGGAAATAATATAACACATGTGAATAAGAAAAAAAAAAAAGGACACCAGTAGCTATCTATTTGTTGAGGTTGATCGTGGAACTTCAAGTCAGCCAACAATACAAACAAGATTTTACTTGGGAAGAAAATCCATCTTCCAGTAAAACTGAAGGCAAATTTCTACCATTCTCAACCTTGTCTGCCTTCACTGTGAATGAGACAACTTCCTTAATAAGAACAGCTTTTCTTAAGTTGAATAGAGCAAAACCAGCCCAAAGAGAAAGAATATCACAGAACTCTGAATAAAACAACATGGTATCAAAAAGCCCCACAGCAATACTTAGGCTACTTCATTAAGAGATCCATGTTAACATTAATTTTTAACTCAAGGTAAATTTATGAAGCCTCAAAATGATATTTCAGCAACCTGTACTTAATATATGGAGAGAAGACATAATAAAAATTTCTGTAATGTATGAAGTAAACATAGCTTAAACTAGCTGTTTTCTTCAGAGACCTACAAAAATTAAAAATACCAGTAGCTTTTTGAAAAAATCATATTTTCTATAGAAGCTTTTTTGGTTGTTTTTTTTTTCCCTGTATCATTTTGAAGTGCAGGTGTGTGTAATATCATAAAGTTTCTTCAGACTAATTAAGGTTTATGTTATTGAGAAGAAGTGTTGTTGTTTGTTTTGCACAAAGTTCAGACCCTTTGCTTTGGTTGCATTCCAAATTAGAATCCAAAACTCCAAATTCAAAAGATGTATGGCAAAATGCACAGTTAAAACCCATAGAACTGTATAGATATCAGAATGTGATTACTTTCAAATCACAGACCAATTTATAAATTCTTTACCTATATACCACTGTTTCTCTGTCTGTAATACTAAGAATTAGTGATTTAATTATAGCATTAATATTTAGACATTTGAATTCAAAAGTTTAATAGCAAAGTTAAGAGCAAGCACAGGCACCCAATGAATCCTATACTGTAAAAGTTTCTGATAAACCTTTAAGACAAAAAATAAGTTGCTGAAGTCTTCTAAATTAAAAATATATCACAAGATAATTAAGAAAATGGCCCAAGTGAAAATAAAAAATATTCTTACCCATGAATATAGAACACATCTCTTTAATGAAGAATTAAGAAGCTCAGAGATGTGTTTTAAATCCAGATGGATACCTCATCATCAGAGACCTGAAAATTAAGCATGTTAAGTAAGTCACACAATAACCAGCTTCAGGAGCGTACATTCAAATGCAATACCTGAAACTCAAAAACTCTCTAGATGCCATAAAACCAAGAACACCAGAATTAAAACACAATCAGTAGTAGCTATAATTTTTTAAGTATCTGATAAATAGGTACATATTCATTTTGTAGGACTACTAAAAATAACCCAAGTCTACAAACCCCATAGGATGAAGGGTAGTTTGTGCCACAGTACCAAAAGGTTGAGGCTAACTTTAAGACAGGATGTAAGTACTCAAAACCAACAACAGCAAAAAGAAAAGTCTGGAGTTAGGTTTTAAACCTGTCAGTCTGAGAAGCCCTGTACATGTCTTTTAACAGCAGTGAGCTGTTCATACTGACAGTGGACTTCAATGGGAACTGACACTGCCTTCGGGGACAGAATACCTGCATGACAGTTTTATCCTGTTCCTTGCCTTGGCAGTAGGTAGAGGAGTTCAATTTCAAGAGGTTCTCTTTTAATCTAAGACAGGCTTTAAAACATTACAAAGTTTAAGGGAAAATGTACATGTGGGGTTCTAGGGCCACCGTGTAAAAGCCTCAAAGCATACAAAATTACCTTCTAACATTGAAAGACAAAGTTTGTATGTGAAATGATATTCTACACCAGTGTGCTTTTCCATTTCAAAAATATGATAATTGTGTCCAAGGCACTCCAATTCCAATACAAAGATTCCTCTCTTCCAAAATACAGTTTGGGGATGCCAAACTCTTAAATACTTCTGCAGAACTATCAATGCAGTTAACAGTTATTAGTACAGCTCTTCTCCTATTTTTCAGTAACTTCCCAAGACTTTTTCTAAGGTTGCTAAACTAAAATGTCTCTGTTCTGCAATAATATGGACACTTAAAGCAGAGAGGTATTTTTCTAAAATTCATATGAGATAAGCATGTACCCAACACATACCATGGGGAAAGTTGCTAAAACATCTTTATCTTTGTTTACCATTTATGTGAGCTGATATTAATTTTGTATCAAAACAGACAGAAAACTTGCTCTAGATGTTTCCTTTTTCTGTACTGGAAATCTCATCATACAAATAGAGCTCCTGTCATTCAAAAGTCCTTTTCACATCCAGAAATTAAAATGGAGTTTGAAACTATTTAACTGTTAGGTCCTATGTAACATTTTTTTTTTTGTTGTCAATCTCTGCTTATTTGAAAGTCCCTTGCTGGCTAAATAAAGTTAAAGTATAAATATTTTACAATATATACCATACTAACTGAATAATGGCATTCAAAAATTTATTATTTGAAAAAATCAATAATCAAGTAATTTATTCTACCTGTAACAGTTTAAGAGTAAAAAACTAAACCTAATTCACCTCTATCTACCATACTAATGCTGTCTTAAGTTCTTGGCTATCCAAAAGAGCTGTGTATCCTTCCCCTACTGGATTGTTCTTGAATCCTCAAAATAAAGAGAAAAAAAGATGTTTCTTACGCTTTAGAACAGTGTCCACTTGCTTGAACAGCTTCCAATATGGAGACAATTTTGGAATACTTAAAAGTTTGAAAAACCCTACATTGAAAGGAAGAACAAAAACATATGTAACTTGATATACATTCACCAGGTCTGCAATACATTTTTCTAAATGTGAAATACAAAAAATACTTTTGACAGCAGAAGAATCACTAAGCATTATGTGAAGTGCCAAACAGAAATCCACATAAAAGGAACACAGACCTTTTATAACCTCCAAAATGGGATCTACCTCCACAGATTCTCACATAAGCTATATTGAATGTGAAATTTTAAATACATATACAGACGAATATATGTATCTGGTAAGTGTAATATGTTAAAAAAAATTATTCTGTAAAGATCCATTATTTGGGAGAAGGTCTTAATACTTGCCTTCAAGTCTTGAATTAGTAAAATTAACTCATATACAGTAAAAGTTACATTTTATTAAGTAGAACCAGAACTACATTTGTTTTAACCATGCCTAGATCCATACTCAACTTAGAAAGTTCAAAAACAAATATCTTTCACAGTCAAACTAATACAGTATCTTCAAAAGATATTAAAAATATACATTTCCCTAAGTACATACAATTTCCTTGGGTTTCTTGATGAATTTCTAAAGCATTACCCTTATTCGCAAAAAAAAAGTAAAGACAGTATTTTGGCTGTTTCTCTGAATATCTGTAGGAGGTGTCAGAGGATGGACCAGGCTCTGCTCCTGGTGCCCAGCAATGGGACAAGAGGAAGGGGCAGGAAGGATGCCCAGGAAGTTCCACCTGGACATGAGCAAGGACTTTGCTGTGGGCACTGAACAGACTGGCCAGAGGATGTGGAGTCTCCCTCACTGGGGATATTCCAGAGCTGTCTGGACACAACCCAGTGCTCTGTGCTCTGGGTAATTCTGTTTGAGCAGGGAGGTTGGACCAGGTGACCCACTATGGTCTCTTCCAACCCGACCCATTCTGCGATTCTGTGAGTCTTATTTTGGACACTAAACCACAGATTTTTATATGCATTTTCTAACAGGAAACAACTTCAACTGGTTGAGAATAGCTACCCAAATTTTTATTTTTTAAAACATCATGTAAATTTTAATAAAACAGTTTAGTTTTGCACAACATCCTTGTGTGCTTTTATCTCTTCAGGCTTGGGAAATACCTTTAGAAAATTTAATAGCACCAGTTGAAGACATTATTTTCAACTACCTTCTTCATCTTTCTGCCAAAGGTTATTGCCCTCAAAGCACACCTGCAGGACAAAACATGTAGTTGTGCATCTGCTGCTTCAGCATAGAGTATCTCAATTTAGTTTTAACCCCTCCTCTTGTTTGTTTAACAAACACACTAGACTTTGCATTAAAACAGCAGAACTGTAAGTATACCTTCTATTTTGTCATTTATATCCTGTGGACGTTAATTGCAAAAAAGGGACAATAATAATACAGAGAATGGCAACATGTCAATCTGCTGCTATTGACAGAAATCTGGAAAGATACCAGGAGTTTGGAATACGTTACTGCAAAGAACAAAGTTTATCCCCAAGTCAGTTTATTTTAGTGAAAATAGCTGTTAAGAAGTTAATGCATTTGGCCACCAGACTACTGAAGGAATCCATATTAGTAACCAGTACTTCTACTAAATAATGCAATTTTGTTTCTCTGAAGTGTGTGGTCCTGTGGATATTCCCATAAATTTCAGGACTTCAGTGATTTCCTTCTGTTTCTAAAACTGTAAACAAAAACTTTGCATGTTTTATTATTTGAATACCACTATAACCAACTTTTCTTTTTAGTGTATCTGTACGAAATACAAATGCCTCTTTTAGAAGTTTAGTTGTCAAAAGATAGTAACATACTCAGTGTAATGCACTCATAGTTTGCAGTTTACTTCTCATCACTAGAAAGAGCTACACAAACTTCCTTGAAAGTTTAAAAAGAAAATCCTCTGGTGTTGCTGAAATTTCAGATGTAAGCATTACAGACTTTTTGTTGTACTGTCATCGATTTCAGCATTACACCTTAAATTAGATCTACAAAATGTGTTTCTGAATTCTGGTATTTTTCCTCAGGAACATTTAGGCCATTTTAAGATTTAGAGAAACATTTGCATTAAAAATCAGAAAAAAAACCTTTTCATTTTCACATGTGGCCTTAAGAAAACATCAGAGACAGAAGACTTCAGAGCACAGCCCTCTCTCAGTTCACAATCTGATAATACAATATCTTCCAATAATTCTCATGTTCTACCCTGACAGACATTTTTGTGAACTACTGCAAGTTTATAACCTGGAAGTACCAACTAGAACAATGCAAAAGATTGTGCCTGTTTTACAGATGCCTATGGATCTGATTGATGAGCACAGACAGCTGTGAAGGCTTGACATTGACAAAAATCTGCACTGGGAAAAAAAAAAGAGCACAATTTCAAGTCTTGACACTGCCAGATTAGGATATGCCAGTATTTCATTGAACAAAACAGGTTCTGACATCCCACTCCACATTACATTCACCAGCACATGAAGCTTCATCTTTATCATAGCTCTGCCCCACTCAGAGGGAGGCTGCATACAAGTTTTTTGTTTTGTTTTTTGGGGTTTCTTTTTTTAAAGTATTTCTAAGGAGATTTGATATGAAAGTTTCCTAAAGAGTTCCTCCCAGGCACACGTTAAGCAAGACACTCTGAGTTCACAATTTGTTCAGTATACTGTTCTTAAATTAGGAGATCAATTAAAACTAGTAACTCAAGCAAAGTATCATTTCTCATCTTGTCTCATGGTTTGCAGCAGTCAGGACATCTTCCTGAATTCACCTGCAACAGAGAGAGACTTCAGACAACTTTTACTGTGCCATCAATACTCTGTCACAAGAGTCTGAAAGTTAAAATGGACTTTTAAAAAACTTCCATCATTAAATGGGAAAATACACATCTCTTTGTCAAGAGTATTTGTGAATTAATTCTTACAAACTTCCTAAAAACCTGTCTCTGAAGCTAAATTTAGGTTTAGCAAAGAAATAATTTGAAGAACTACATGTTGAAACCAGGAACATATTACGTGGAGTCAAGCCCACTGTCTTATCCAACACTGTTTTTCATGTAGGTGGAAGCCATAACTATAGTAGCTTTCCTACAGGGTAATTGAAAACACAAATATATTGTACTGAATTCTTGAATTTCTGATAATACATGGAATATCAGATGGGCAGACTTTCATGGCATTACACAAATAAAGTCTTTCTGAAGCTTAGAAGTTTCTTCACTAGGGTGTTTAGTATCAAGTGTAATAAATCCATTTCTCTTCAAAAGCCATTTACAGAACAGATTTTGGAGGAATTCCTGAATTTCAGTGACCAGGATAAAAGACCAAACAAACCTTTTAGTACTGCTCATGAGGCACAGGGAAAAGTGCCCAAGAAAACACTACAGACGGAAACAATTTGGTAACCAGAGTTACATTTTCTAATATGACTCAGATAAAGAACAAAGTCAAAATTGCTATTTGTCTCCAGAAAAATGATGGGAACATTTTTCCTTCTTCCTGCAAATTTTAGCTGTTGATTTAAGATTTAAACAAAAATATATCACTTACAAAGAGAACAATGCATGTACACTGCCAGCCTAAAGACATTAATATTTGGCAGTGCCTAGATAATCTGTATGAATGAAGTTGAACATTTCAACACATCTGCTCACTGACAGATGCCATATATTACCAATGAATTTCTGCTGAATTCTGACTTCTAAAAAAATTCTTCCTACCTTGTAACATTTTTCTTGCAGCTTAGAAAGTGAATGTAATGTCAAGTCAGTACGGAAAGGGGAACTTGGATCCAAGGTGTGTCCTAAAGTAGCCTTTTACTTGATCACTACAGCTCAACTCTAAGACGTAACAGAGACGTAACATCTGAATTCTACTACATACACATTTTGAAAGTACTCCTAAGGTCCTCTTGTTTCTGAAGTAAAGATAAATCTTCATTACTCACACTGTTAAAAATTTTTTAGAATTGGTCTTCTGAAAGTTTTCAACATTGCACTTACTCAAAAACATGGTTATTGTAAACCACATTATACTTTTTTCCTATTGCACTTCTAGAAAAAAAAATACTGCTTAAAAATGATCTCTCCTCCCTGCACTACCCTAAATATGAAAGTTGTGTGTTCAGCTCACTTTCACGTTTATGAACTGGTCAGATTAAATATGGGAATCTCACTGCTCCTTCAGCCAAAGCAAAAGCTGCAAATATTTTTCAGTTGCTGTTTTATCAGCAAAATAATCACTTCTTAGCACATCAATTTCTTTTGCTGAAGGAGAAAGAGAATACTTCAACAATATAACAATGTTAACTATCAGTTCTTGAAGGTTTGACTAAATAAACAGCTGGTTTCTCGATCACCAAGTCCCGTGTACTCAGATACTCCACATTCCTGAGGCGCCACTTCTGACTACAGGAAGAGCACTGGGAAATTGAATGGGAGCCCAAGTAAGTGTGAGATTTCAAAGTCTTCATTAAGCTCACAGCTCCATGGTTTGATAGAGCCAAGATCATTAAAGGAACAACTCTAGATAGGTCAGTGGAAGAATATGAAGTATTGACAAAATTAGGGTTATGAAAGAATCTGTGTGTGATGGGCTACCAGACTTCAGTTAAACACACACGTTTCAGCTGGATGATATACAAACACAAGTACCAAGCATTACTGAGAATTCTGTTCATATATAATGGTGGAAAGAAAGAGAATACTGCAATCCAGTGATGAATAGGATATGCCATTTGACACCAACCTAAATTGCATGAAAATTATCAAAGAAATATGATGATGCGGGTATTTGTGCAATTCTTTCTATAAGACTCATATAGGATAAAAAAATGCACTGTAAGGAATCTGAACCCATAAAATATATAAATTTCCAGCTTATTTTTGAAGTGTCTGAAGGATAAATATACCATAAATCTAGGAAATATTTTTATTGTAAAATACATTTTTTTAAAAAAAACCTTAGAAATAGCCCTAAAAACCAAGGGAGAACAAATGTGCATGTACTTACTTAACGGGTTTCAAAAAAAGGCAATTTTAAAGCAGTATACCAATCTTTTGGGTTTAATCTGCCTGCATCATTAACTTATCTCACTCATAAAAGGAAACTAATGAAAATTGTCTGGTTTGGGGGTTCTGGAGTCTCTCGGTAGTGGTTCATGTCATACATCTATTAAATAACACCACTATAAGAATACTTTTTAAAAACTACACTCTATTTTCATCAATATTTTTGCATAACTGAATTCTTGGACTAATCTTCAGGAGCATTTAGCATGAGCAGCTCATGTGAAATGGTAAGGTGCTGAGACTCCTCAAAATTCTTGTTCAAATTCCACTTCTTTTTACAGTAAAAATTATAGCTTTATTCTGAGTGTTATGAATTAGTATAGTTTCATCATGAAAAGCAGCATAAAGTTGTATAAATAGAACAATTTGGTTAAATACAAATAAGCTAGTTAGCACAAAGTAAACCAGCACAGATGCACTGTAACTACTTTGGTGCCTGCCCTTGTCATCTTATAAATGCAAAGTAAATTGATGCAGCTTACTCACTAACAGGGAAAGAAAAAAAGCTCCTTCACATTTACTTTAAGGTTAGAGAGTCCACAATGGCCCTTAACCACAGAGCTGCTGACACCTGAAGTTCACATCCTACCTTGCTTCCCACCAACTTCTCCATGTGCCCATGAGTTATGGGCAAAGGGCCTGGTACACTGATCCCTGAATTGGTTAACAATAAAAAACATGTATATTAAATTTTATTAAATTAAATTCAATGCTCTTTCATTTACAAAGTCTGGGCATTGAAGTCCAAGGCATTTTGGAAGCCTCATCTGACAGACGCAGGAAGAATTAAAAAGTCATTATCAGTTATAGGTATGAGGTGTTGAGGCTGTGTAGAAACTAGTAAACCCAAAAGCTATTAATTTCTACTCTTTAACAGTTCACGAAGTCTAAGATAGGAATAATTATTAACTGTAAAATATTTACCTTGTGAAACTAACAAAAAGTTGATCTGTGCAACAATTAAAATTCAGAGACAGGATAAAAATCCAGATTTTGCTCAAAAGTGACTTAATATTAATATTCTGCTTTGAATTATAAACATATGTATAACTGCACACAAATGATTACATGTCAAACAAGGTGAAATAATTATTTTTACCTCACACCTGCCAACTGGGAACTCGATGGTGTTGACTGATCCAGGTTTAAAAACAGTTGCAGTGAGCTCTCAGGAGGAGCCTAGTTCTCCAGAGAAAGGAGGGTTATTTTTTAAGGCTACTTCTTAAAGTCTCAAAAAATACACAAGAGAACTAGAAACCCTATCCGGTAGCACAAATTGCTACTTTGTCCCCCATGAGCACGGATTGTAACACTGAAGGGTTCAGCTCTCTTCTACATAATGGAGGGGGAGACCAAGCTGCATTTTCTCACATTGATGAAGTTAAATGGCTTTCATGAACTGAGGGAAGTTCTCAGCTGCTAAAGATTCAAGGCACTTATGATGGAACAGTGAGGACAGTAAACCATTTCTTACAAATTGAAAGTGTGTGCATCAACCTTGTTGTCAAAGCTATCCAGCCAAAATGAGAGCATTCAGAATCCTTTCCACCTAGTTTTTGTCCTCGTTCACAAAAACTTGTATGTAAAGAAGGAATGAAAAGGCTTTAGCCTTTCAGTGTGTTAAGCGTCAGTGGGAAATGTAATAATTTCTCCACTTCACTGGAATAAAGATGCATGCCATCTATCCAACCAGTGCCATCTACCTCAAAATCCTCTCCTTGTCATCCCCGGAGGAGGTCAGCTTGCAGCCCCTACCTGGAAAACGCCAGTCTATCAATTCTAACCCTCTCCTCACCCCAGAAGGACAGCAGACTGCATGCCCATCTCCATCTCCCAGACACGCCTCACCCAGTGTCAACCCTCCCCTGTCACCTTTTTTCCCCTGCTTCCACGGATCCTGCCGTGGTCAATCCAAGCCAGTGGGCTGCCAAACTCAGCTCCTATTTTTCTTACTACTTCGCTTGCCCTGGGAAATTATATTAATTCCTCCCACTACCCACCTCTATTATCTTGTATGCTGAGAAGCCAGGTCTGCCATGCCCACTCTTCTGCCTGGGAGGCTCTGCATCCCTTCCCTGCCTCACACTCCCTTCCTAAACGACACAAGGTGGCTGGGGACATTCTTGCCCTCCCTACCTTCCTCCACCCAACCCTTTTCTCCCACTGCCACCTCGTCGGTGGGGGAGAGGGACATACAGCCTTTTCCTCTGACTTCCCTAAGGAGACCAGCCCTCTTCCCCTCGCCCTGCCATCTTCTTACCTGTAGGAGGGCAGGACGTTCACAGGCTCTCCCCCACCCCGCGACCCCGGGAAGGCCCAAACTTCGCCCCCACCCCTGGGCGCCGTGGCGGGGCCGCGGGTGGCGAGGACCACATCCCTGGGCGCCCCCGCCGCCTCCATCCTGCCCGCTCCACCCGCGCCGCCCCCGGGAAAAGCCTCGCCTCGCCGCCGCCCCCCTTCCTCCTCCCACCTCCGCCAGCGAGGTGTGAGGGGCCGGCGCGGAGCCCCGCGCCCGGCGGTGTCGGCGAGCGGCGGAAG